AGTAAATCCCCGTTACGACAATTTAGCACGGACCGAATCAAAAATGCGCCTTATGCGAGAAAGCGTATTATTTGCAGGACATGGAATATGTGTTTAGGATCGCAGTATTAAGTACCATTTTATGTCAGATGAAAAATTACATGTTTCCTATATTCGGTAAAACTTTTCATATTAAAACTTCTTAAATGGCACTTCTTTAAATATTAAATTTTCCATTTATTAACTTCCCGTAAGGTAAGTTATTGTAATGGGCCGAAAATCGGAATTGAAAATTTTTACATTTCTCGACGTTTTGAAGGTTTCTGAACATTTTGGCATACTTCAAAAAAAATGGATGTGTGTGTGTGTATGTATGTATACAATTTTTCGTCCACGTTTTCGGGCGTACGGATCAACCGGTTTGAATGGTTCAAAAATGAATTCGTTTTTGAATTCGATTCCTATTGATAAGAAGATGTGCTGATTAGTTTTTGGCAAAGGCAGGTCCAGCAGTTACGGAGATAAAGAGCAAAGAGTGCAGAAAATAGAAATCAAGTTTTTGAGAGAACGGAGCATCCGATTTGAATGATCTAAAAAAACATTCAATTAGTAATGATTGGGAGAAGTGGTTATTAGTTTAGGCAAAGGCAGGCCCAGCCATTTTGCAAATACGGAGCTAAATGTACAAAAACTGGCAGTTTTTGAGAGAACTAAGCGTCCGATTTAATTGATTAAAAAAACTTTCTGCTTGTCTCAACAAAATAATTGATTTTGGAAAAAAAATTCTGTTTCAACTTTTTTTTTTTTTTTTTTTTTTAATTTTTTGTATATCGAAAATAATCCAGATTTTATTTTAAATTCTGACTATAGTTCTAATATACTTTAAACCAATAATTTCAACTTTGCAATTCTGTTTATATGATTTTTATAAATATTAGACAACATTACAATATTAATAATAATCTATTTGAAAACATTCAGTATTCCTCAAACATTTCGTTACGGTACGAGAAGTTCCAGCAATTTGCCTTAAGGCACGATGCCACCCACCCCACTAGTTTTCTTTATCGATCACTCACCTTGCGTGTAAAGGACTTTTAACAATGCTCATTTTAAAGCTTATTTTAAACACTATAAACCTTATTTTATTGAAATTCTTAAAATGTACCGGTCAGTATCTAGATGGCATAGCATGCGGTCTACCTAATGTATTGGATTTTTTTAAAAACTTTTTGGAACATTCCTTTATTAAAACTAGGCTTCCTATCGATATCTGAAATTATTTAAAAAAAACAACGCTTCAGGGCCGGTACAAAATTCAGATTATCTTCAATTGCAAAATTAAGGGTATGATGACCCAAATTCCAAAATATCATGCAAATTGTCACAGTAAAAAAATCGGACCAATAACACTAAAAATAGATACTACATATAACCAAAATATTGTTTTATTCTAATTTATTACTACAGGTAATTGACAAATATTTTATTTACTTTTCTGTATATCATATTTAGTTATTGCATTCAGGTTCTTGTCCACTCACGTCCACAAATATTGTGTTTATTATATTCTGAAATAAAAATTCAATAATAATTATCTTTCTTTACTGCAGAGTTATTTTAAAGTACATTTAAAAAAAACAAATTTCGTAAACAAATAAAAAAATCAAAGCTGTAGAATATGTAAAGAAAACTTCAAACGTCGCATTTTTTTCTATTAACCGATTTATATTTTATCTTCTCGAAAAAATAATACGAATATTGATAATTTCAAAAGCCTTTGTAAAAATTAATAAGTAAAGAGATCGATAAATGATAATAAAATATTGGAGTGATCTTAATCATTTAAATTAAACCTATAACTATAAACTAATATTTTACTTATTATTGAGGTTAAAACATTCAAGAGTTAAGTATTTTTACATACCATCTGAACATCTAATCCGAGTAAAGCCTGTACGATGGTGCAAGCGGGTAGACACTAAACATAAAAAATATATATTTAAAACTAAAAATTATAAAAATGATTTTTTTATAAATATAACACTTCCACAAATTTCGCGTTTTATTAATATGTAACTTTTAATCTTATATAAGATTATTAACTTACTACTTGAACTCCTGAATTGCAAGCCAAAGTGCTTATAACGCTTCCTGTGAGGTTCTGCAGCTCCTGTAAGTAAAATTCAATTTATTTCTGAGATTTCACTGAATTTTAAAATATAATTATATGTAAACTTACCACAACTAAAGCCAAAGTGGTAATTTCCACACTCTGAGTTGCTAATGCCTTAGTTATTGCACATAAATCAATTCCATCTCGGCTGGAGCATGTGTTCTCTGTTTTACCCTGATAACATAATAATTTATAAAAGAAATTTATAAATAAAAATTATTTTCTTCGTTTTACAAAGATTTCAGACCAAATTCAATATACTTTATTTTGAAAACTGAACAAGTCAGGCACTCTGAAAAATTTTGTCTTCCAACGAAGAAATATTCTCTAAGGCTATGAATACTTAAACATTGATGTAGTTTTAATTAAGCTTCGATTTCATGTTAAAATTGCAATATAATAATTCAATTCTTATATTTTAAATAGTGTATTGTAAAAATATATAACAAGGTATAAAAATTATTTTGCTTTTATGTTTTTTCGCGATTTTTGTTGGAAAATTCAAGAAGCCGATATTTATAGGGTAAGTTCCTTATGACATTAGAAAGCAGCTAAAAAATATTTTGATCATAGTTGAAATAGGTTTTATAATGCACGCATTTGAAGTTTGCAAAAAGTTTCAAATCGTTTTTATGACAAGTTGAATTCTTTTCAATATCTGAAAATAATCTAGTTGACCAACAAAATATGCATTATTTTTTAATTTAAACCGCTTTTTGTGACTTGTGATTAACAAGAACCATCTTGGGCAAATTTGGCATAAGGCTAACAAATATTAATTTAAATTAACAAATATTAATGGATTTTGTTTAAATCATTTCAATAATTCTTAAAAATGTATGCAAAATATATATTGGAATGTTTGGTAGAAACATACAAATATCTTTTTTGAATAATAACGGCTGTGCCATGAGCACTTCTACAACCGTAACATATTGTAATTTTTTATGTATATATCACTAAAATTATATGGCTGATGTAATTTAAATATTCTAGTAAACATCATTACAATTTTAATTTATTTACCTGTACGCAAACGAAAAATGCCAAAATCGTTAGAATGCACAAACTTTTTGCTTTAGAACTCCACATTTTTAATCAAGTTTTTAATCACACTTCCTCTTCAGTAAAATGATATTTGCAACTGAAAAAGTTTATATAAATGGGATAAATTTGCAAATCACTGTTTATTGAATATTTTCTGCAATCTTATTATAATTTGTTTATTGGTAGGAAAAAAACAGTTATCTTCCAGAAGTTTAATTGTTAAAATGCTTTAAATCCCGTAAAATAAACAAAATTAATGACTGTTATAAAAACTTCGCTGCATTTTAATAAAATATTATTATTGCAAGCTTTGGCTTTTAATTTTGAATGCAATCAATTGACTATATTTTCAACATATTAAGCTTAAATAGTGGATATCATAGCCTAATTTAAATCTCTATATTTACTCTGTATAATAAAAAAGGCCCTATCAAAAGGCATAAGCTTATCTCTGCTTTAGTGTTCTATTTATTAGCCTTATTTAAACAATTCATCGTTATCAACTTGTTTTTCAATTCAGAAAATGGAAATTTACATTTTTTACTATCATATAAAATTTAATGTTTTTGTATTGCTATATAAACCAAATAAAGTATTTCCGTGAGCTTATTTTGTTGCAAACACTGTTCGTTTAAAAAGTATTTACAAGATATCACCTATAGGAGAAGGACATTCCCAGTGAATCCTAGAATTTTAATAGAAATAATAAAAATATATTAACAATTATTCAAATGTGAACAATCTGTAATTAAAAGTGAGTATTTTATTTTTACTTAACTTTATAGATGTTTTGGTTCAATCAAGAAATATTGGCGTTGGTGCAACTGCTAACATGCTGTTTTTTGGGCTAATTTTGTTTTTTATACCACTCGATCGTTAAGTTTCTGTAATAACTACAGTCAATACATAATTTTTTATGACTTAAACTTAATTTAAATCTCGAAAAATCTATTTTTGTTTTTTATAACCAGAAGTCTTCAAACCGAACTTTTGCGTAGAATTTATTAGGCTCTTTTTAAACGGTTTTTCATATCAGCTTTTGAAACGTCATACAAGACACATTGACCAATCTGGAAATTACGGAATTACAACAGTAATAAATATACAATTTTTAAAGGCCGGAGTTTATATGAACTTCCATCGTTGTATTTTTGGTTATCCAATTTTGATAGCTGTATGGTGCCAAATTGAATACTTAAAACTGTAATAAAGTTAATTAAATTTGATTAATTTTTCAAAAATTATTAAAGCCAAAAAGTAGTTTAACAGCTAACAAAAAAAACACGCTTTGAATTTGTCGACTTTTTAAATTTCGAAAGTAATTTTTTTTTTTTTTTAGATTTATCCAAAATCAAGCTTTTTTCAAATAATATGAAAAAACGCCATGCAAGTTTCAAATATTTTCACATGGTTAATGTTGCTTTGTCTAGTTTATTCATGTAGATTAAATAGCTTTACAGTCAAAATTTTAAGCGTTTTTCTTCCATCAATGACTAATAATAATTTTTGTATCAGTTTCAAAACTCATGAAATAATTAAATAAGGAAAAATGATAAAAGCATGAAAATTAATTTTTGCCACTAATGTCTTGGAACTTTTTGTAGTATTCATTGTTGCATTCAATGTGCAAGTGGAAGTTTGATTTATAAAACATGATATATATGGTAAAATATTTTAATAGTTAATTTAATTGCTAATAAATAATAATAAGTCAAAGTACAATTGCAAGGTTTATACTAAAAATATGAATTTTATTACATGGTAGTAGTATATCGACTAGTCTACAAAATTCAATTCGTAATTTTCATAACAAGATTTATTTGTCTAACAAAACATTTAATGGAACATGTGTGCATATGGTTCTAAATCCATGAGCAATATAGAAATCCTTTGTATTTAGATATTGCATGCTGGTGGTTCTCCTGTTACACTAATGATGATGGTATTGATAATGTTCTGCAATAAAAAAAAATGTTTTATATATTTGTAAAAAAATTTAAATAATAATAATTAATTGGATATGTTCAACTAATTTTACTAGAGTAATAGCAAAGGAAATTTGTTATTATAGCTGTAATTTAGTTTTTTTTTTTAATTTTACCAAAAGTTTTGATCTAAAGTAGAAATATTGACAGAATTTTTTCTATTTGTAAAAAAAAATTAAGCATAATCGTAACTTGGCGATTTACCTGAAAATGTTGACTTTTGTATAAAAGTATGTTGAAATTTGGAGAAAAACTAACCAATTTTAGTTAGTCAGATAGTTTTTTAAGTTATTAATGTTAATATTCTTCTTACTTATTTATTAAGTAATAAGTTTAGCAATATACTAGATTCATTCAAATCACTTATTAACCCTGAGCAATTCGAAGAAACCATTTTTAAAAAAATCTGACAACAGCGCACTGAAATTAACCGCTATTAACTGATTTTACGCCTAGATTTTTTTTACATATATATGCGATGAAAAGGTTGTATACCCCCTATATTCCTAGTGTAATTATAATAGCGCCAAAGATTCGAAAAAAAATTATGTGCTTTCAAAAATCTATTTAACTCTCATTTAGTCTAAGTTGTAAATTTCATTGTAAATTAATACTAATTAGTAAGAGATCAAAAAAAAGTTACATAGTAATAGAAACTTAAAATAAAAAGGAAAATACTTGATTAAGTAAATGCATTAAGCCCACTTCCAAATTGCGTTCTAATAAACTTTTGCTACGATTTGGTTTGTGGCCTCAATTTTATTTCGTATGTATTTCTTGGAGATTATACTTATACAATTTTAAGTTCATATTGCTCTTCATATAAAATTAAAATTACTGAAAAATTAAAAAAAAGTGATATTTACCACATCAATGCTCAGTTCCATCAAAGCTTGGACAACTGTACATAATGGCACACACTGAAAAATAATATATTTCAAGTGAAAATTTTATTTCAAAATTTGTAATAGTAAAATTTATATTAGTAAAATAAAGTTTGAGAAATATTTAACTAATAATTTAAGAATTTAAGTATAAAAAAAAATCATATGTATATTATATTAATCAGTATACACACCACTTGGACGCCGAGACTGCATACCATAGTACTGACAACCGATCCAAGAAGATTCTGAATTTTCTGTTTCAAATAATAATTTTAATTAGTTTTATTAATTTTGATAACTATTAATATTAATTAACTATTAATTGTTATTGTTAAGTTTTTTTATTTGCAAATGTAAAAAAATATTTACCACAATCAAAGCTAAGATGTCAATTTCAACTTCCAGCGATGCCAAAGATCTGAGAACAGCGCACAAATCGATTCCATTATTTGAGCATGTGTTCACTGTTTCACTCTACATAATAAAATGATTATTAATATTAAAACCAGAATACACAAAAATTTCAAATAAAATTTTAATAAAATTTTCAAATTTGTGGAGAATATCAAACGCCAATAGCACAGTTACTTCAGCTTGAGATAAATTAATGATAGTTCTATATTAGTAATTTCAAAGCTTAGCTTGTTCATAAAATATTTGTCATGTTTATTCATCATACATTTATAATAAATACAATATAACTTTAATAATGTTATCTAAATCAGGTATTGCTGAATCAAGACCGAAGAAAAAATTATCTAGTTCAAAGAAGAGAAGCAGCGATTTAAGTATTTCATTTTTAAGATAAATTTTAATATTATATTACGAAAAAAATGATTATACACTGTTATAAAAAAAACTATTACACATTATACACTGAAGGTTTCGTACAAACCTCTATCAGGAACTAGATTAACACTTTCATTACTTATTTAATAGCATTCAATAAGTATTTTGATATACTTTGTGGAGTGATTATTAACATTTCACAAAGAATATAAACATTTATGCTTTTTTTAATAATATTAAATTTAGAGCATCTTGATGCAAAACTTCGATACAAAAACATGACATAGTAAACGACTTTATACTATAAACAATAATTAACTAATTATATTTCTTAAGTCACATTCAAATTGCACTAGAGTTTAAGGAGTTTAATTAGTAAGTTTTTTTTTCTCTAAAATAATATAATAATCTATACACTTACGTTTCAGAGTTATTAATTGAAAGTTTAATTATTTCAGAAATTGTTAAAAAAATAATCAAAACAAAAAAATTTAAACAAGTAGGTATTGCATAAATTCTTTCATAATTTCAAAAATTTTGCTTTTTATATAAATAATTGATATAAATAATTATTACTAATATTGCTAATTAAAAACATTTATATTCGTATTAATTTTGTGCTTTTGAATTTTTATTACTACCTGAGTATAAGCAATAATTGAGAAGAAAACCAAAAGCACTTTTGGAGACAACATTTTCACTGAATTTGAATAAAATACTTATGAAACAATAAACACAGATTCTATTTGGAACCAGTCAAAAAATTTATAACTGTCTGCATCAAAATTGAATGAATTTATACGGAAAGTTTTATTACGTAAATGTCTGCTTAAGCTTTATCAGAAACATAATTTTATTGTACTTGTTGTGAGATTAAGTCGTATAAAAATTGTGTAGTTCACAAAATAATTTGTTTATTTAAGTATCAAGAGCTTCATCAATTACGCGAATTTGAAGTAGTTTTCATGAGATGATAATTTTTATGTCGATCTCCTGTAATCGCTTTGACGAAGGATTTTTACGCAAACTAATTGTTTGTTCGTAGTAGACGATATTAATTAAGGAATAAGTATTAAGTAATAAGGATTAAGGAATAATAAGTAAGGAATAATAAGTATTAAGGAATACTTAATTTTATCGTGTTTTATCTTTGATTGAGGATGACATTTGTTATTGTTTGACGTTTTTTGTAATTGACTGTTCGTTATTGTATATCAGAGAATGTAAATATTTTTTCACACTCAATTATTTTAACTTTTCACAAAATTTCCTGATTACTACTTATTCAGTTGGCAGATGGCTATAATTTCCAGAAGAAAATTATTCCAATTGAGTATAAGCTAAGTATAATTTGCTGGTAATTACTGAAATAAATATAAACTAGGTATAAATTTTTATTATAATAAGATGCTTGAAATTTTGTATATATACAAAATATACATATTGACTATCCATACATTTTTTTAATACAAACGTTTTCAGTCAAGCAAAACGACATAGGAGCCGTTCAAATTTTACGTAAGCATTTTAGGGGGGCGGGAGGGTTGTTGATTTGCTTATTTTGGGTTGACATGGGGGGCAGGGGAGTCTGGATGATGATTACGTCATAGGTAGTAGTTTTATTTTTTTACATTAATTGCAAAATGTTTACATAAGCATGGGGGTAGGTGTTAAGAGCTTTGCTTACTTTTGCTGACAAGGGGTGTGGGGGGGGGGAAATAATTGTAATAAATCTGCTTACGTAATACTTGAACGATCCCATAAAAATAAAATTAGCGAATTAGACTTTTTAAACAAAATCGTGAATTGTTTAGTAGAAATTCACTGATCATAGATCATAAATTTAGAAATCATCAGTAAAAACAATATTATAACCGATATTAATTTTACAGACAAAAATTTTTTTCGTATTTTTTTATTTGTATTTTTCACTAATTGTGAAATCATCGTACCGATGACGTACTTCTAAATTATACGTAAACTATAACATATATTTTAATTGTCTCTAATATCCTGCACATTTTTAACAAATAAATAAAATATTATTCACATTCAAATTTTTTGAATAGAATAAAAATGTAATTAGTAATAATAATTATTCTTTTTGGCCCTTCCCAATAATTCATGAAATATAAATTATAAGTTCTGAGTAATCATTGTCTAGACTTTAAGAGACACTACTTTTTATAAAAAAAAATATGGCTCTTGTTCCAAAATTAAATGACTTTAATATGAATTTTACAAAAACTTTATTATTCATGGAGTTCTATTATTTAAATTATCAATTAATGAGTTTACCCTCTGTATCTGTTAGACAAGTACTTAATGAGTTTTTAGAAAATATCTTATGAATATATAAACCTGCATAAGATAGTTTCTGGTAGAAAGGATGAACTTCAAAAATTTATTTATTTTCAGACATGATTTCAAGCATTTCCCAGCTTGGATAACAAAATACTAGATTTTTATTAGATATTTATAGTTTATAATGTTTATTCTATAAGCAAAGTTGTGTACTTATACTAGCAATAATAATCTGTAAACATTTTTTTTGTTAACCTTGTCACACTTTATAATGTTTAAATAAAATCAAAATACTATAATAAATATTAACTAAAAGTTAGCATTTGATCAGCCTTTAAAAACAGTCCTATGTTCAATTCTTCAACAATTTGAGACATTTTGCTCATTTCTGTTGACATGTCAACCACAAATTTGTAGTTAACTCAAATTTTTCAATTTTAAATAAAGGTTCAAGTTGTTTCCAATTTATTATATTGAATTTTTAATATTTTGTAAGATAACAAATGTTTGAGGTTGCCTGACCAGCTTTACTCAAAAACTTGCTTAATGTAAAACAATAAAAAAATGTACTTGTACTCATAATGTTTATCTATGATTATGATTCTGCAATTAAATGATAACGAACTGTTGTTATACTCAAAAAGATTTGAAGTTCAAAGATAATATTGGAGTATACGTCATTCCATTAGCTATAATGCGCAATTTATTTAGTATATAGAGAATATATATATATATATATATATATATATATATATATTCGTATAAATATATAGATAATACTTGATGAATATGTTATGCAATTTAGTCATTTAACTTTTAAGAGGAGAGTCTGATACTGATCAAAATTGGATAAAATTTATTCTGAAATAATAAAATATATAAATGTTAGTTATATCAGTTATATATCCATAATTTTATGTTTGACTAACGTCTTTTACGCCAATTTCAATATTTGGGAACCATTTGATGAAACTCTGTCAGAATCCGCATTGATTAGTTTCGTAAATGATTGGTAAAGCTTTTTTTTTTATTTGTAATTATAAGTTAACTAAAAACGTTTTATCAATGTTTTCTAAAAAAATTTTGATTCAAAAACTATTGAAAGCTGTGCTAAACTATGATCGATTTTTTTGTAAGCATCAATCAATTTCTTTTTTCGTTATTAACACTTTCAGATAATTCTTTCTACAAATATTTAATACGAATTAAGAACTTCTTTTGGAACATACAAGTTGAAAATTGTGTTGATTAGATTTGGTAAATAATTCATCGGTAGATTTCAGCTATTATCGGTATAGATATATTGACAGATATACACATGGTGTCCTAAAACTTTACGTCAAGCCGAAAACTATTGACTTTAACTATCTTGAAAAAAAATAGAAAATTAATTCTCACGTTGTTTAGAAATTATGAGCTTTTAAGTGTAGTCTAAGGCTTTGGTAAAATTACGACCATTATTCGGTTATTGTGAATATTTTTTTTACTAATTTTGTTTATTTGAACTCCGGTACCATAGCCATGAATAACATTTCTGAAAAATGTGAACGTGAAAAATGATCAATTGCCTGAAGTATTCAAAAATGATAACTTTTTGTTGAATCATAAATTCAAATTTGTTGAATCGATCGATTTTGAGAAGCCCTTCTTTAGTTTTATGCCTTAAATATTAAGTTTCATCAAAAATTAGCGCTTAAAATCAAGATTGTAAATTGGTAAAATACTTTTATTATTTAAAATTTTATGATTTTAAAGGACAATTTTATTATTTAAAAGTTTCGTATAAAAAACTAAAAGTCTAAAAATAACACAATATCGGCAAACGTATTTTGCTCACATTCAGTTCAAATGTTTCTCTCTTGCAAATTGGAATTGATAGTGAGTAAAAAAAAATGCACCATCAAAAATCATGCTATATTTAGGTTCTTATTCTTTCACTCGAAAATTTTCATTACCCCGTTTCGGTTTGATGATAAATTCTGGGACATTCTGTATTACCTGAAAACTATCCTAAATATTTTAAATTACAATTAAAATCAATTATGAAAATGCTAATTATATCTGAATTTTTCAGGGCATGCCGCGAGTATTCAAACACTAGATGCAAATATTTATATTATATTTATTATAGTATGAATATGCTAATAACAGTGGCGGATCCACCTTTGGCCCCAGGGGTTCACATAATTGAATTATAGTTCTCAATGAGTAATGTTAAATTTTATCTGTAATAAGTTACATATTGAAGTTATAAAATGTGTTTGGCAACAAAATACAAAAATAAAATCATTATGAAGTAATTTTATTGCTGAATTAGTGTTCTATTTAAGTCTTAAAACAAGCTCAGGGGAGGGTCATGACCCTCGCGACCCACCCCGTGGATCCGCCACTGGCTAATAATGGATAGAAATGCGGAATACAGATGAAGGAAAATGTATGCAACAAATGATTTTTGTTTATTAAGTATATTATAATAAATAAATTTGAATATGAATTTCTAATTACAAAAAACAATAAAACTAATAATTATTTCATTTTTCAATTTATCACTTTATTCCAAATTCCTACAATTAAATTTCGTTCTCCTGCTTGTCTATACGGTAAGGATTGTCGTTATTATCAATTTCTGATTCTGTTGCACATTTGGGTTCTGATTTGAGTATTTTAGTCATTGTATCGTTTACCAAATTCTGAAAATGAAATAAATTATATTAATTTATAACACATTATTATGTCATTTTAATAATTTGAATAGACATAAATTTATAATTATGTTTTATCATAAAAATCAGAAATCTTATGAAATAAAACCATACAATCCCAGTTCATCTTAGTAACTTATATACACAATAATTCATATTTATCCTTAAAACCTTCTAAAATATTATATAGGAATGTTACTACAGCATTTATTTCACGAAGAAGAATATTTTACTTTTCCTCTTTTCGTGTTGTAAACCAAAGTAGATATATGCACAGATAGATCTCATCTATATAACTACCTTATAGTTTATTATCCTTACTAAATGATAACATCTAGTCCACTTTATAATAAATAAATTAATTCATATCATTTCATAAGTATAACGGGAAGTAATAATAGTTCAGTAGTTAATTTATTTGTAGATTTGTATCCAGAATTTATCAACATACGTACATACATATATACATGCATCAATATTATTATACACACAGATTATATATATATATATATATATATATATATATATATATATTAGGGTGGTCGTTAATATGGATATTTTCGAATTTCTTTGCTTCCATTTGTTTTAAATGTACCAATGCTTCCAAAATGTTGAAAAAAAATCTCTGAAAGTTTTATGTCTTGGTACATCTTTCTAAGTAAATACTTATTTTATAAAATATATTCAATTTTTGCTGTGATTTTTTTTTATTTTGATTAAAATAACCAAATAAATAAATAAAGTTATAAAAAACATATAGAATTTTACCCATGTTATTTCCATAAGAAACTTTGGTTGGAGTGCGGACTATCCTAATGTTAATAATAAGAGCTAAAACTTCTCGATAATTTCTTTTTAACATTTGAGAAGCATTGGAACCCCTTGGAGCAAAAAATTAAAAAAGCCGTATATCCGTATATTAATATCTGTGCGTGTATGTTTAAAATCATCAATTTATTATGAGAGAAGTAATATAGAATATTACTACTTTGAACATATTGTAAAATAATACTATTATAAATAATTAAACTTACTGGTTTTAAATTAAAATTCTTTAAAGAGTCCCGTACATGGCAAGGTGGAGCACATACTGCATTCTACAACAAAAAAATTTAATTATTATCAATTATGAATATTAAAATAATATACACAAATAAGAACTCTATGTGCTGATAGCACTGCACGCACATGGCTTTTTGACAGCAGGTTACTACCAACTCATACGAATATAGACCCGTAACATACCATTACCATAACATTTCTATTTTACCCGAGAATTGAAGAGTCGCAAATCACTCAAAAATATAGAGAAGGCAAAAAGTGTTATATTAGCCCAACAAATAAATCGTACACTAAAATAAAATATTGTGTATAAAGAAATTGTATAGTTAAGCTAATACAAAAATTTAAAAATAAATTACAAAAAATGCAAAAACTAAACTTTTTTTTGTTAAATTTCATGCGAACGAAATCGCGAGTACAGAAAGTTTATATATAAAAGTTGCCAATTGTATAAATTTTTATTTCACTTAAAGTTACTTAAATTTATGTTGTTATCGAATAAAAAAATATTAGTTTTATGGATAAAGACATATTAATAATTATGGATGAAAAACTTATTTTATTAGGCATTTAATTGAATCAATATTGCTCGGTTTATCTAGCACATAAATAGCCACGATAACATCAGAAAAAATTTCACGTAGACCGTGGTAACTTCATTAGATAATTTAGTTAGAAAGTTCTCAAAGAAAAGTTTTTTTGACATAATTCCTGTTTTATGTCACACATATATGACTGATATGGGCCTTTGTTAACTTCCCGTAGGGTAAGTTATAGTAATCGCAAAAAAATCGAAAATGAAAATTTTTATATATCTTTACGTTTCAGAGGTTTCTGAACATTTTGGCATACCTTAGAAAAAATGGATGTATGTGTGTGTGTGTGTGTGTGTGTGTATGTGTGTGTGTATGTGTGTGTGTGTATGTGTGTGTGTATGTGTGTGTGTATGTATGTACGTGTGTGTATGTATGTGCGGATACAAATTTTCGTCGACGATTTCGGGAACACGGATCAACCGATTTGAATAATTCAAAAAACATTCGATTCGTATTGATAAGGAGACGTGCTGATTAGTTTTTGGCGAAGGCAGGTCTAGCCGTTCCGGAGATACGGGGCAAAAAGTGCCGAAAACGGTAACTCAGTTTCTAAGAGAACGGAGCGTCCGATTTTAATAATTCAAAAAACATTTTACTTGTATTGACAAGATAAAGAATTGATCAAATTTTCATAAAGGGCAGGTCTAGCGGTTTCGGAGATCTAAGGAAAAAAGTAAAAAAAAATGCCATTTGGCGGTCAAAAATGATCATTAGACATATGCACATCGAATTTTCAGATATTTTATAGAGATTTTAACAATAAGTATAAATTTTGTTTATTTTTCTATGGGTTCCGTATCAATGTTTACCCGCTAGACAGCGACGCCGCGCTTACGCGCTTTATATTTTGTATCTATGCAGTTAAAGCAGTACGATTGCTTTGAAAAACAAGTTCAGATTTTCCAAAATATGTCAAAATGAAGAAAACATTTTTTTTTTCAAAAAAAAATTTTTTTAAAAAACTTTTTTCTAAAAAAAAATTTTTTAAAAAAAATTTTTTTCAAAAAAAAGTAATTTTTTGTCCAATTTATAGTTTCTCAAAAATCTTATTTTTTCGAAGTAAATTTTTTTCAAAAATGTTAATCGTTTTTACAAAAAATAATAATTTTTGGTACGGGAAGTTCCAGCAATTTGCCTTAAGGCACGATGCCCTAATTGCCTTAAGACAGAATTCCACTTACAGCTAGTTAAAACTTTCATTCAGACAAATGTCCAACAAGGCAATGCAACTTTTTCGACAATTTATCTTATTGTTCTATTACTTTTAACTATTAACTTTTCTGGAATTAATTCAAAATTGTTAAAATCCATCACGTAATTCTAAAAAAAATTATAACATACTATAAGAAAACTAATCAAATTCACGAAAAAAAACTCCATAGATTGCTCAAATGTTGTGAAATGAAAAAGATGTGATATGCAACTTACATTTATCGGATCCATAATGCAGTTATAGGGTTCGAAATTCATTTCCAAATCATATTGTAAAGCCTGGAAACGAAAATCATATTTTATTTATAACATATTTTGTATTTGTTTTGAACATCTGATAATATTGATATTAACTTTAATCAGCGTTATCGTGACTTGATTTTTATTCAATAGATACTCTAGAACAGCACACACATTCACTTGTCCCGGACAAATATCATCTTCGGTAGCTGACACCTAGGTTTTTAAACTCATTATATTTAGGGTTAAAAAATAATAGTTTATTATTGATTTTGCACACCTGTTGGTTTGTCAAACTAATCCCAACTATCAACCAAACCACCAGAACAAATACCGGCGTGTTCATTATTTTCAATTATAAAATACTAGAGACATGTTATATAAATTGTTTTGAGTAGAATTTTTTGTACCTACTGTTCTCACAACTTAATCAAACAAAAAACTAACGTGAATTAAAAACATTGATAAGCAGCTGATAAGAAGCCAAAAATATTTCAACTGGCAATGAACATTACGCTACAGGTGATTGTGAGCCACATTACCGTTCGACGAACATTTGACGTCTCAATTAACACCTTCAGTATTATGTTGAATTATTCGAATTCAGCATTTAATACTCACCATTTTTTGCTTATTTGTGCCGAAAAAATGCAACGTTTGCACACTTGTGGAAATACTTTAAATAGTCCCATTTAGTGAATTAAAATTTAAATTTTCGAAAAATTCTTTAAACTTTTACTACGCTAGGTCTTGTGAAATAATCAAATTTATTTTGATTCTAAAGAGGATTAAAAATTACTTTTTTTTTAATTGTAAATGTTTTAAATCTATTTTTCAACTTGAAATGTCTGATCTGCCTTCGTCGAAAACCACATGCAAATACAAAACTATGGATTTTCGAACCAACAAAATCGTTTATCCCAAAATTTGGCAGATTCATGTATCCATTCATCATTTTTAGTAATATGCGTAAATAATCAGAAGTTGTAAGTAGCATTTTGCTTTAAGGCAAGTTGCATTAACTTCCCCACATGAGTAAATAATCGACTTAATTAATAAGAAATCAATATAATAATTTAGGTGTAAATAGGATTTTCTGTAGAGCATCAAAATTAGAGAATCTATTGCATCAACTTGCCATTGTGTTATTTATTGAATTTTGTAGTTTTCTTTTATTACACATTGAAAAACTTGCCGAATACATACACGTAGTATTTTCTATAAGCGCGGCCGATTAATTCAAATATTAAATAATTTTTATAATGGAATTACTTTCTAGTTTGTTTATTAAGATAAAGTACTCTATTGCCAAACAGAATCAATATCGTCAAAACAATTATTCTCAGCAATGAGTTACGAAGAAAGAGCCCTGTCAGCCTTAAACTAATCAGCACGATTTTCAAATGATACCTAGATAGTTATTTCAAATGATAGTTTTTGAATTATTAAAATCGGTTCAGGATTTTTGACTGAAACCAGAACAAAAAATTCTGCACTTTTCTGCTATTGATGTAGCGTCGATGAAAAGAAAAAAATTGCATACAAATACACATACTTTTGTCAAATTTGGCCTAAGTCGAATTAAAATACCTTGTAACGTCAAAACAATTATAAAATTGGCAAATCGGATTTTCTGGTGAAAACACAAACCTCTCCTTCGCGAAGTTATAAAAAATATAAGGTTGTCAAATATCTCCCTTCCGCCTTTTTGTATTATAAACCAAGAGCAAAAAAGCGGAAGGGAGATATTTGACAACCTAATATTATATGTTCGAACAAATATTATTTATGAAATCAAGTTTTAGTATTGTATGGTTCGTTTTGACCCAAAACTTTTTTTTGCCCATGCATTCATTTTGATTTTTTAGGCGGCTTTATTATAAGCTAGTAATAAAACAAACAATGCAATTATAAAATTAAAGAGATCTTTTATTTTCTGTACGAAAAATATTTTTGTTCATTACACGGTTATTATGGGCAAGTTGGTGGAGGCTGTCCAGTCAATCTAAGAATGATAGCATCGCTGATATTCTGAAATAAATAAATTCTGTTTTATTTTTAATTAATTATTTATTAAAAAAAATAAAACATTACCATGTCAATATCAAGTTTTCTCAGTGTTTGTACAACCTTACAGACAGTAAGACACTAAAAGAAAAATTCAGATATTTATTATATTTTTGAATTTATGACTTATTTAATAAATATGTAAATTCTAAAATTTTCAATTTAAACTTAGGATTTAAGTGGTATTTACATGCGTCAAAAAAAAACAATTCTAAATAATTAATCAGAACCAAAAACATCAGTAGTGGTTTACTTTATGGCAGAATCGGTCCCTTAATTTAGTATGTTTTATGTCAAAGTTACATCACGATTTGAAAACCCAGGGAAAGCATTAGATAAATTAATTTGATAGAAACCTGTCCCGTGTATTGACAAATGAGTAGATATTAATGATCATTTGAACCGTAAACTTAATTGTAATGTGTGTTTACAAGATGACTCTTCTTAATAAAATTAAAAGAAATTGCGGCCTTTTGACTTTGATATTGTTCGGACGTCTTTTCGTTTTATTATATTCGTCATGAAGGTGACAAACTTCAAGGCATTAAGCTTTACACGGAATGGTTGCTACCCCTGGTAGAGGAGCTAGCGGAGTGTTTTAATTGAAGTAGTTGTTCACTTCAAAAAGTAAAGTCTGCTTAACAACATGAAAATAACCAATAAAAATAAATTATCTTCTTTCATTATAACTTAGTAACAAATCAGTGATTGTAATTAGAACTGCAACAAATACATAATATACAAACAAATCAGTGTTTAATACAGTCCACAGCTACAAGGGTTAAATTATAACCCAACAACCTGAATTATCGAAAGAGAGTTTGAATAAATTCTATAACTACGTAACAAAAGTACAGATATGTTAGGGATTATGATACAGGTGAATAGATGTCACTGGGATGTAATCATGTATTTAATATGTTTTAAAAAGTTTTAATTGGACACTGTGAAAAATTGTTGGATGTATAAAAGTAAAAATATATATATATATATATATATATATATATATATATATATAAATATATATATATAGATATATGTCTTTTACCCTGTCAAATAGGCTTGGAAAGACAGTGCAAAGTATTGGCGATACAATGTACATTCTCAGCTCGGGCAGTATGTTCTGTAAAGAGAACTGAACATGCGTCGACTTATTAGAATTGGCACATTTAACTCAAATCATATACAATTAATCATTCAATGGATATTCGTACCTTGTTGACGCCGGACAGATTTCTGGGCAAAGCTCTAACGACGTCACACATGCTCACCTGGCCAACGACACAGATTGGTTGCACCTAAATAATGATAGAAAAAAATGGCAGTTTTTTACATTCAAACTTGAAAACATATTCAGTTTTAGTTAAAATTCGAAAAATTATTATCACCGCCCGTTATTTATACAACAATTTTTGTAATTGGGTAGAGCGGGGCTCAAAAGTCCGCGGGAAAACAAGTTCACCACCAATATCTCAAAAAATTGTTTAAAATTCTTTAACAACACTATTTGAAAGTAGAGGGAAAAAGTTAAGTAATCAGTCATTGCCATAATTTAAGCAACATCACATCGGTATAAAGAGATAAACGGCCATGTTTCAAAATCTATAAAAAGAAGTATTTTCCTTTGTTAAAATTGTTTTCCATAGTCAATTGCTTATTGGAGCAATTACTACAATTTGTTTTTGAGTTTTTTAAAAAAATTTATTTATTTATTTTTCTTTTTTTTATTTCTTTCTGTAATTATTATTGTTTATTATTATTATTATTATTATTATTATTATTATTATTATTATTATGTGTAATTTTGCCATATAACTCATAGGGTCTGTAAACTACTCTGATTGTTATATAATGTGGAATAAATAAAAAAAAATTCTTCGTGGTTAGTTTGGTTATGAGCACTGTTGTTTAGTTTTACGAGACCTTAATACATTTTTAGGTATATGTTATTTAATTGTTTTGTAAGATCTATGCTTAATTTTAGCTAAATTCAACATTTTTTTCATAACCTCTATAAAAGCTTATGTGTGGGTAGGTTACAAAGAACCATATGAGCCTTTTTCCTGGCAAAAATATGAATATTAAAAAAAAGTACATGAAAAAGTATATGAAGTTAAAAAAAAACAATTTTGCAAGAAATAAATTAAATAAATATTTATTCCAACTTTGTTGATTAATATTCTGACAAAATACCAAATTAAGGTTTTACAGTGTGTCCGTAAAAATGTCAAAATGTACCCATGAAATGTATGTTTTTCATTGGCTGAATAATGTAGCTAATATTTCGCAAAATTGTCTTTACATTAAAAATGAAACATTGGACCCGTTTTACTTTGCCTAAGAGGTAAAAAGGACTAGGTGATAATTTTTGAAAAACAGCAAAAAAAACACATTTCTACAATAATGAATTTGCTTCTTTTGGGACATAGTTTTAATGAATATGTTCAGATAGTTCTTTGTTTGATATGTGTTATTTGTTGTGATATAACTGTTGTATCAAATTCGTCATTTTTGCCTCGCTCTAACTTACTACACTATGATTTTTATTTAATAATTTATAGATGTCTGAACAACTTATATTAATCTGCTAATAAGAACATCAATTAATTTTCAACACATATGTATTTAATAAAAAAACGTACAAATGCTATACTTGGAAATATATTCATTGAAATAAATTTATTTAATGGTCACTGTAACGTTGGTCTAATGATATTCTCTGATGTTTTATATAAATAGATAATACAATTACCGTAATTCAATAAATTGACTTTAAAATAATCATTAGTTACAATTGAAATTTTTACAATATATTTATTCAGCAGCAGGAATGTTCTTGATTATATAAAATGTAAGCTATCTAAATTTTCTTGCTAATTATTTAATAACAGAAAACTTCTTTGGGAGGTTGAACAAACAATTGCAACTTGAGGCAACTATACTAAATATACATATTATTTTTGTTTAATCAAAAGAACACATTGTGGATTTATCTTATAATCATGAGAATAATTTTATAATTTGTCTATCAAATGGGAAATCAACTAGTGAGTGGTTTTTCCAATATGTCATTTTGATACAATGTCTTCTGTACAAGTGACAATCGTAAATTCTCTTATAAGTGTCTTAACTTGGGCATCTGTGATTACATATAATAATAATAAAATAATTATTGTATAAATTTATATTGAATAATTATTATATACAATATTAATCAATCTTGTGTTTATAGCTGAAATTACAACTTCAAAAATAAAGTTTATAAATGCTCTTGCTAGTCAATCATTACCAATTTATTTAATTGTTCATCGACTGTTATCTAGAGCTATCAGAGGTACATTTATTTTAAACCAATATATATATTGTTATATGTATATTTTAGTATGTATGAAATTTATCTAATATATCTCATCGATATCAGATTTAATAAAATAAAATTACTAGTGGAAAAGACTATAGTAGCCTTAATGATGTTCTGATGTTAAAAATAGGCGTTAAAATATGTCCGAAAACACTCAAAATAACCAACTGAAACAGTGCTTTACTTGACAAAAATTAAAGATAAAACTCTAATCATGATGAAATTCAAATGTTTGCTTGTTCTTTGAATTTGTTATAGTGCAATAATATTGTGCTACAATATTCATGAATAATTCATATCTTATAAATTGTTATTGAATTGAATTGTTATCTACTGCAATAAAATGAGTTTGAAAAATGAAATTTAAAATGCTAGATTGTAATGATATATTGTTACAATAAGAACGACAAGGCGTGAAATTTTTCTATTTTGGTTTGATACGGTACTAAACTAATAGTTTTAGTATGTGAAATATTTTTTTAAATGAATAGCCAATTTGCTTTCTTTTCAAAGAAATACAGGCCAATGATAATTTCTTATATTTTTCAAAATATAACGAACCATACCATCTTGTTAATACAATCAAAAATATAAATTTTATGGCGACAATATTTATAAAATAAATAGTACTATAATAAATATGTAATAACTCACTGAACCCAAAACTAATAGTACACAGGTTAAAAACACAATTACACGTTTTTGTTCCATTGCAGAAATATTCGAAAGATTTCATAACCTATTACTACTTTGCTATTTATATAAATTATTTAAACAAATATTTAATTAATTTGGCAGTAAAAGGTAAGATATCGCATAAAACTATCTTGTAGAACTATAAATTTACGTCATTATAATTAAATCATGTGATAAAAGTTTGATGAACTTTATATATACAAATATGCGTCATTTTGTAGACTATGATATGATCGCAGAGCCTAATCAAATATTTTGACTCAATTTTGCGTTTTACTCTATTTAATTTCTTAAAATTATATATAGTTGACCATTATTTCAATATTAACTAATCGACGAGAATATGTCGTGGAATAGTTAATGACACTCTACTTTTTATGCTTTTACATGTAATAGAATAATTCATGGTACAAAAAAATTGTTGCTAAAATTTGCACAAAATCAAAATGTATAGAAATTTAGCTATAATTCATACAATTAATACTTTATTTCATACAATTAATACTTTAATTCATACAATTAGTATGTATAAAAATTTAGCTTTAATTCATACCAATTATTCGTACAATTCAGCTTACAAATTCATACAGATTTTTATGTACATACATTTTACTAAAAAAACATCAATCATTTAATAATTTTACTGGTAAAATTGATACATACATTGTTTACAAGTAATTGATGTATAAAATTTTCTCTCACTATCAGCTGTATTTGCATAATTTAAGAAAATGACGAGACATTTATTTTAATTAGAAAATACACATTTTTGAATAGTCAATTATGCTACATTTTTTTATCTGATACTATGATCATATTATTAATTCTAATATTAATGTAATATACATAAAACAATCTAGAATTATAGAATATAATCTTAAGGTAAGAGAACTAATCCTTTATCTAAATCTCAATGTTCTGAAGAGATATGAAATGAGCATTTTTGTACTAATTTCCTAACAAAGAAATTTTTAATAATTATTTTATTTATCAATTTTATATTTTTTGCTAAAATAATTAAACGTATAAATTACCTGATGATGGTTTTTATTCAGTAATTCGATGGTTGCCTGAAAAACATTTTGTGTTTATCTTTATAATGCAATAATTTTAGATTTTTCTTATACATTTTTTCTGTTTTATTCATAAATAGTATTTGAATACAAATTTATATGAATTATTCTTGCAAAATACATCGCATGTATATAAAATGCCTCGATATGCGTCTGAGCTGAAATATGTGAAAAGTTACGCCTGAATGGCAGCTATCACTTTAACTCCGAACGCTATATGTATCATGAATATTTATTTAGATTTATAATTTATAACATAATAATTAATTTTTTTGAGAAAATTTATTATAGTTAAAAAAATAATTTCACTAAATTTTTCAGTAAACATCCGGTATTAGTAATTAATCCGGTATCATACCTTTTGATTGAAGGTTTGTTTCAATTTTTCAATCTGGAGATGAAACTAGTGGGACGCATGGCATCGTGCCTTAAGGCAAACTGCTGAAACTTCCCGTGCCGTAATCAAACATTCGAGGAATGAAAAAATAATCAATAATTGTTTTTGTGAAGGGTTACCGTTTGTGGCAGTTTTTGCCCCATATCTTCGGTAAGGCTAGACCTGCCTTCGCCAAAAACTAATCAGCACGTCTCCTTATCAATACGAATCGAATGTTTTTTGAATTATTCAAATCGGTTGATCGGTGTTCCCAAAATCGTCGACAAAAATTTGTATCCGCGCACACACACATACATCCATTTTTCCTAAGGTATGCTAAAATGTTCAGAAACCTTTGAAACGTAAAGATAAATGAATATTTTCATTTTCGATTTTTTGCGATTACTGTAACTTGCCCTACGGAAAGTTAATGAATCATGAATTATTCGCCACGCAAATTAATTTTGAATAAAATTAAATTCTCAAATTATTTATCCTTAAATAATTGCCTGCATAACAATTCATTAATCAGTTGTTTATGATATTTATTAAATAAAAATTATTTTAGAATGAAAATATATGATTTTCCCTATGAACCAGTTTAGATGCAAAATACTTTAGTGCAAAAAAATGCAATCTAGATTTATATTAGCGATTCTGGATAATAAATAGAAATATTTTTGAAAATAACTTGGAAGAAAAATTAATCTGCTTTAATCAAAATTAACTATCTGAGTTGCTGAAATATTTTATTAAAGATTGGTTTTGAAAATTTGTTATGTTGTTGTTTAATTTTTCCTAATTGTTTCTCTTCTGTATTATAATAAGTTTGTCGCAAATTTAAAATTGTTACATTGAAATTGTACAAATGATTTCAATTTAGTACTTTACAAATATTTCATTAGTAGATAATAAACTGAATTATAATTATATTGTTGCAATAAATATTCAATTTATCGATATTTTCATTTAAACATTAATATTTAAAAATAGTATTTGCACTTCGATTTTATTCGTTGCCAACAAGTGAAAAAATAAGTATTTTTTCAAACAGTTTCACACAACTAGTATAATTTATTTTAAATCGCATTGTATCTAAATTGATAATAATATTTCGAATAAATTTATGGGGATTTTTTAAAGCAAAATATTTTCAAAATAAGCGAAAAATGTTTATATTTTCTACATTTTTTCATAGTTATGTTTATAATGTTCAATGGAATTTTAAATATTGATTTCAATATATCCTAAATGAAAAACACAATATTGATTCCAGTAGCTAGATGATACTGTAATGCGTTTTAATGCACTGTAGCACATTAAAAGTGCAATTGGCTATTTAGCCTCGTTCAATATAATTATTCTTATTCTTCAATATAATATTATGTTTACTATAAGTGAGACAAAATTCACAATTTGAAGTAGTAATCGATTAACAATAAGTTTTTCGCAAATCTTAAAAAAGTTACTAATCTCGTATCTGATCAATTTTCTCAGCTGTTTCCACTTTTGGCGCAGACATATGAATACGCAAATTATTTGATCAGCTTTCAAAAAATAAATTGAAGATACCTTCTGTTTAATTTAAATTCCAATCACGGTTATTAAACACAATGTAAATAATTTTTAACATTAGAAGTTTTAATTAAAGAGAATCAGAAATTTTTAAATAAAGTTGTTCAAATACAGCACAAACGGAAAATATTTATGTCTGAATTCAATTTTAGTAAAATAATGCTTAACTTTGATATTTTTCTCGACTATGCAAAGATTAACAGATTTTTATGCCCTTATTTTTCTATTATAAAAAAATTAAATTCAATTCTTTGTAAAGTACTTATTTTCTTTAATTCTTATTTACATATTAATGTTAACTCACATTTTTTTAAATCATCGGTTTATTACTTTTATTTTATATTCTATTATATTTTTAATTATTCTACTACAATATTATTGATCGATTGATCAATATTATTGGTTTTCTTTTTTGCAAAGTTTTTTTTTCATAAATAGTTATTTGCTTCTATATTTTCAAGTAAAAATGGATCTTACATCAACAGTTTGACCGATATTAAACTTTGTCTGTATTCATCAAAATATTTCAATATTTGTTCTCATATTTGTTTTAATTTCAAGTAAATTATATTCTGTTTAACTATTAGGCTTTGATAAATCATAATATGTTAAGATTCAATTCAAAGAATGAACATACTTGAATAATGCTACAAATTCTGTTCGAAGTACAGTCAAACAGTATTAGTATATTATATGTATTTTACAAATTTTTCTACTAGCAGTTTTGCATTAAACATATAAAAAGAAACTTTTGTTTTCATTTGATTTAATTAATTATATATTTAACGAACTATTCAAGAAGCGTTATTTGAGCTACTATATACTTACCTTTTGCCACAATATTACTAAGAAGGACAAAGATAAATGTTCTATATGAAAAATATGAAATATCAGTTTAAATCTAACTTATTTATGCAAAAAGGCCATACCTGAATAATATTACTTCATTTTTAGTAATACATCTTTAAAATAACTATTACAAAAACAACTCTCTATTATAAATATTTTACTGATAAGGTATAAACAATAAGGGTCGTAATAAATTTGTATTATCAGTTATTATTTGAAGATTAGACTGATTTTGAGACAAAAACAAAAAAAAATCAGACCCCAGTATCTTATTCGCATTTACAATCAATGAAAAAGAATTTTCAATTGACTTTTATTATTTTTTTGTTATTTATTACTCAAATTATAATGCAAAATTGTCAATCAGAAATATACTCTATATGAAAGAGTGTAGGTGGTATTTTATTGCACTCGGTTTATTTGTAATAAAAAAAATCATGAATAATTTTATATTTCTATTACTGAATCAATTTGAAATTTTATTTTTATTATTAAAAATATCTTTACTTCTTTGATATATATATATATATATATATATATATATATATATATATATATATATATATATACTAGTTCTTATATTATTTTTCACTGGTTTTTATTAAAATTTTATTTTGTATTTTTTATTTTGAATATCTATTTTGTAAATTCTGAACTGCATTTAATTACATAGAGAATGCTAATTGTTTTATTTATTTTTAATTTGTTATAAAGTTTGATATTATTATATTTTCTAAAACCTTAAAAAATCTACGATATATCAAAATTGTAACATGAATTATCAATTTGAAGTAAAAAGTCATCATCCAACTTTTAAGTATATTTTGAGCTAAAAAATATTTCAACATCTTGCGTGAAATTTATTTATGTGTTGAATCTTAAATCTATTCTTTATCCTTCCAAACTTTTTGGTTTTTTTTAAGTTTTAACAGTCTTGTAATATTTTTGAAGAACATTTAAAATAGAATGTATGTATATGCACTTGTGTGTATAGTACGATTTACGACCTTTTACTGCTCAACTTATCAGATTTGTTATGGTTTTCATAAAAGAGTTCTAAAAATTTAAGGGATATTCAATATTGTACATAGCCAATATTTAATAAAATTAAATTCTCTCTTACTTGTTAAAGTTCTGAAACTATTATATGTATGTGAAAGTCATATCATTGACAAGCACTAATAGAAAAAAATCCTTCAGTATTAGGACAACAAAACATGGTAATAGCTAAGTTTGGATTCCGCAAATAATGTGAAATTTATAAAAGTAAACTTTAAGTAATAACTTGTATTTTTAATGATTTTATTTATTCATATAGAAGTTTAATATTTTGTATATACATGCATACAATGTAGATATAATTATGTATAGAAGTCAGTAACTTACAAATTATATTGCTTTTTGTGATTCAATTATAGTAATTTTAATACTTTAAAAAATAATTTATCATCATTTTCATTCAATTATCATAAGCTCTGAAATTTTAATTATTTTATTATAATAATTAATATCGTTTTTATACATATTATTTCTATTTATATTATATTTTTTCAGAATTTTACTCTGTAGCAATTTAAAAATGTAAAGTGATGTACATTTCTCATATTCATTTTTTGCTAATCGCATACTAACTACAAAATCCTCACAGAATTTAGTAATGGTTCAATCACTTCATATTACATATGTATTCAATTGAGATTTATTGAAAAAAGTCTTATTTGAATTAAATATGTGCCGCTTCGCTATAGTCTAATATTAACACAATCTTTTATTTTATCAGTTGTGAATAATAACAATATTTGAACAGATTATTTATTGAAAATATATTTATCGTTTTTTCAATTGGCAAATCAAACATGAATTTCATATAAAAAGCATGGATTGATTTGAAATAGTATCAATTTTCCAAGTTGTGTGTAGTCAACTACACCTCCTCAAAATGGTACGAGTAATCTTTTTAGTTGTACTGCTGGGAGTACCAGCGGCTATGCCATGGGTAAATATATTATTAGATTTTAATCAATTGATATTAATGTGTTAAAGTACTAAATAATATTTACTAATAATTTAAATACCTTAACTCCAACACTTAAAATTTAGGAGTTATCTAGTGCTCATCAACGTAGCAAGCGCCATGCAGGATTACTCGGTTTAGGTGGTGGTAGAGGAGACGGAAAACTTGTGAGCCTTGGTGTCGATAATATCGATTTGTCATCCTCGAAATCGTCTTCCAGCCATTCTTCATCTTCTTCATCATCTTCTCACTCTTCCTCTTCAAGCAGCCACGGAGGCGGCGGAAAAGTCATCACAACTGTCACCAAGAGCAGTTCTAGTGATGGTGATTATGATTTATCAGATCATCATGGAGGCAGTAACCATGGCGGAAGTAGTACTGTAGTTTCAAAGAGCTCAAAGGTTGTCACCAGTTCATCTAGCAGCAGCGGCAGTCACTCTGGCAATGGTCATAATGGACATAATGATCACGATCACGATCACGATCATGGTCACGTTATCCACGGTCATGATAGTTCGGTTATTTCTAGCTCCAGCAAAACATTAAATAGCGATTCTTCACATGTTTCTTCAGGCCATTCTTCTAACGGAGGTACAGTAATTACAAAGACTACAACCACAACTACATCATCTTCCCATGGCGGTCACTCACATCATGATGATGATGATGAAGAATGCGAAAGACGCCAGCATGAATTGGATGAATGTGAAAAGAGACTGAAAGAACGCCAAGCCCATATTGATCAATGGGAAAAAGAACTTAATCAGAGAGAAAATGAACTTAAATCACTTGAAAGCCAATTGAACTCTCGTGAACAGCAATTGACAAACAGACAGCAACATCTTGATGAATGGGAAAGCAAACTTGATTCTAGACAACATGATTTAGAACAACGTGAAAAGGATTTAGATGATTGGGAATGTAGACTCAATGAGAGGCAAACTGAACTGCAAAATACTGAAAGTCATCTTGACAGCTGGGAGCAAAAATTAAACGCAAGACGATCAGATTTAGAGCAAAGAGAATCCGCATTAGATAGCAGGGAACATGATATTGTTATTAGGGAACAAGACTTAGACAGGCGTGAGCATGATTTGGCAATTCGCGAACAAGAAATAACAAAACGCGAGCAAAATGTTGAAGTCCGTGAAGTCGAGGTGACTAGCAGGGAACAAGATGTTACAAGAAGAGAACATGATGTCACGGTTAGAGAAAATCAAGTAACCCAACTTGAGTCAGATGTTTCTGAACGCGAACATAACGTAGAAGTAAGACGTCACCAAGTAGAAATTGAAGAAAGTGAAGTTTCAGAATTAGAGGAACGTGTTGCAAGAAGAAAGGCTGAACTAGAAACCATTTTAGCACAATTGGATAGCCAAGAAAGTGAAATAAATAGCCGTTTGGAACATGTAAAACAAGAAGATATAAGAATCACTGAATGGGAGACTCGCTTATCGCAAACTGAAGTTCAATTACAAGCTCGTGAAGATCATTTGCAAGAATGGTCAGACAAATTAGATCAACTAGAACACGATCTTGAAGTTAGAGAACACGAATTATCGGTACGCGTCACCGAAATTACACAACAAGAATCTGAAGTTAGCATTCGAACTCAACGCGTTGAGGAACAAATCGTAATACTCACAAAACAAGAGCAACAAGTAGTACAAGAACAAAATGAATTGAACATTCGCATAGAACATATTACAGAAGAAACTCGTGAAATTGAAGCACGTGAAGCTGAATTGGACCGTGAAGAAGCTGACATTAACAAGCGTGAACATGATGTTGCTGAAGCTGAAAAGAACGTAGAGGCCCAAGAAGAACAAATCAAACAAGAAGAAGCTGAAATTGCTGCAGAACTCGCTCGTCTGGCCGCAGAACAACACGAAATTGACTCACGTCAAGCCGAAATTGACCAAGAAGAATCTGAATTGAACGCACGTGAACAAGAATTATTGATTGAAGAACAAAAATTGAAAGAATTGGAGGTGCAAGTAACTCAAGAAGAACAAGAAATCAATATTCGCCAAGAACATGTAACTCAAGCTGAACATGAAATTCAAGTGCGCGAAGAACAGCTCACACAAGAAGAAATGGAAATCAGAGCTCAACAAGCAAGAGTTGAAGAAGAGGAACGTATATTGAGAGAGAAGGAATCTCAACTCAGGGAAGAAGAAGTTGAAGTACAACAAGAAATTCACAATCTCGAAGAATTAGAAAAGGAATTGAATGAAAGAAAAATTGTTGTGGTTCAAGAAGAACAAGAAATAACTGAGCTTGAAAGATCAGTCGAACAACAAGAACAAGAAGTGCAAGCTCGCGAAGCAGAGTTAGAACGCGACAGAGCTGAATTGGAGCAGAACGAAGCTTGGGTTCACCAAAAGGAAATTGAAATTGAAACTCTCAAACAACAAATAGTTCAACAAGAACAAGAACTGCATAGAAGAAAAGCCGAACTTGAAGAACAATTAAGAGAAATTGCTGAAGAGCAAACTCGTATTACTCAACAAGAGCAGGAATTAGTCATTCGTAGACAACGCATTACAGTAGAAGAACAAGAAATTCATACTCGTGAAGTAGAACTCAGAGAACAACAAACACGTGTCACTACTTGGCAACAAGAAATAGAAGTTCAAGTAACAACATTGAAACAACGAGAAGAAGAAATTAGGGTCGAACGTACTGAAATTGAAGTCGAAATAAAACGCGTTACCGAACTTGAGAGTGAAATTCAACGCCGTAAAACAGAACTATCTCAATGGGAGTCTGAAGTAAATGCAAGAGAAGTCCACATAAATCAAGAAGTAGAAGAATTGAATGTTCTTGAAGCTCAATTGACAGAAGAGGAACAAGAAGCCACCTTGCGTCGACAACGCATTGAGCAGGAACAACGTGAAATTGAAGAACTTGAAGCAACTCTCAGAAGTGAACAAGTACATATAACTGAATGGCAAGAAAGAGTAGAACAAGAAGAAACTACTTTGAGAGAAACCGAAGAAAATATTAAACGTGAACAAGCTGAAAATGAAGAAGAAATTAGACGTTTGACTGCGATAGAAGAAGAAATTAGCCGCCGCAAGACCGTAGTTACTGAAGAACAAGTTGCTGTTACCCAGCTTGAGCAACAAGTTGAACAAGAAGAACAAACATTGAGGCAAAGAGAAGTTGTTATTCAAAAAGAACAAGCTGAGCTTGAAAAGCAAGAAGCATGGATTGTAGAACAAGAACACACAATAGAAGTTAAAAGGGTTGAAATTACGCAAGAAGAACATGAATTGGAGGTTAAGGAACAGCAATTGCAACAAGAAGTAAATGCCTTGAGAATACAAGAACAAGAAATTGAACAAACTGAAGTTTCTTTAGAAGAACGTAAACAACAAATTGTAATTGAAGAACAAAAGGTTCACACAGAGGAAGTTGAGTTGCAACAAACTGAGGCTCATTTAGAAGAATGGAGGGAAGAACTAGAATCCGAGGAAGCAACATTGCATGAAAAAGAAGTTCATATAAGAGAAGAAGAAGCTGAAGTCAACGCTGAAATTGAACGTTTAACTATTGAGCAACAAGAATTGGAAAGCCGCATGACTGAAGTCACTCGTATAGAGTCCGAAGTAACAACCAAGGAACAAGTTGTTCAGAAAGAAATCCAAGAATTAACCGTTTTGGAAACACAGCTGTCTCAACAAGAACAAGAAATTGAAGTTATCAGAAGTCAGATTACTGTTGAAGAAGAAGAAATTGAAAGACGTAAAACCGTTCTAGAACAAGAAAGTGTTCACATTACTGAATGGACACAGGAAATTGAAACTACTGAAACTACTCTACATGAACGCGAAGAACAACTTCGTATTGAAGAGGAGAGAATAGCTCATGAACAACAAACTATTAGTCAGACTGAAGTAGAAATTGAAGAACGCAGACAAGTTATAATTTCTGAACAAGAAGAGCTTGAGAGATTACAGGTACAAGTACAGACAGAACAAAGTGAACTCGTTGTACAAGAACAACATGTTACCGAAGTCAGACAAACTCTTGAAGAACAAGAACGTCAATTAGAAATTGAATTACACGAGGTTGAGGTTGCTGAATCCACTCTTCATGAACGCGAAGTTCACATTCAAGAAGAAACTGTTACCATCGAAGAAGAAGAAAGACGTATTAGGGAAGAGCAAGAAAGGATAGCATCATGGGAATTAGAAGTGGAACAGTCTGAACAAACTATTCATGAGCGTGAGGTTCATATCCAAGAAACTGAGGTCATAATTGAACACCGTGAACAAGAAGTTACAACAGAATTACACGAAATTGAAGAAAGAGAGCGCATTGCTAGAGAAGAAGCTGAACGTGTTGCACAACTTGAGCAACATGTACACAGCGAACAAGTAGAATTGGAACAACAAGAAACCGTCTTGAGGGAAAGAGAAGTTTCAGTTACCGAATGGTCAGAACGAGTTGAAGTAGAAACTCGTGAAGTACATGAACGTGAGGCTCAATTAGAGCAAGAGAGGCTGACAATCGAAAGCGAAATTGAGAGACTAGAACACCAAGAACATGAATTAAACGAACGCGAATCATCGATTAAATCTCACGAAGTTCAAGTAAGCGAACTTGAACAAACTATTATTGAACGAGAAACTGTATTACATACAAGAGAAACTGAAATTTCCGAAGTGGAAGAATCCTTGAGAATACGCCAGGAACAAATTACATCTGAAAGTTCTCAAATCACTGAACTTGAACAAAGAACCCAAGAACAAGAATCGGCTTTGACCGAATTGGAACAACGTTTACAAGTTCAAATTACAGAATTGCAACAAGAAGAGACTATTCTAGTAGAAGAAGAAACCCAAATTGAAATGCGTGCATCGGACTTAGAGAGGAGACTACAAGTCATCGAAGAAAGAGAGAAATGGCAATCGGAAATTGAGATGGAATTGAATGAAAAAGATGTCAACATCGAAAAGGAGGAGAAACTGGTCATTGATCGTGAAAATCAACTCGAAAGACGTTTAATCCGTCAAGAGCAACGTGAGGCAGAATACGAGCATGAGCAACATGAAAGCTCATCTTCTACTGTCAAAAAAGTGGTCGTAACCAAACACATTTCCCATGGGGGAAAGCCAGTTGGCATGGACGCTCATCACCACTAGAGCTTCGGAGAGATAATTCAACAGCAATGTCTAACTTGCCGTTGAAAATGTTTATATTAATCTACTTTTTGAAATTTATTATATTACTTCTTATTTTGTTATTATTGTATAACGTTTATTATAAATAATTAATTTCTATTAGCGATGGTTATATATAATGAATGTATTCAATAATATTTGGGAAAAATAAAAATTTCTATGGATATAAATATGTTCGTTATCACTCACTATTTTAAGAATTTGATATAACTTACATTTTCAGAATATAAATATTAGAGATGATACATATCTACAAATACTCTAATTCTTATTCTTAACCATGAAGAATATTAATTTATCAGATAATGGAACAACATTTTTTATCATCGGGTGTTCTTTTAGAATATACTCTAAATTATGTTTTTTGAAGTAGTTCAGTATTGAGGTGTATTCCCAAATTTCTAAAATAATAGTTACATTTTCTATTATTTAGAAATATTCGCACATTTGTCATTATTGACTACTTTTTTTATTTGGTGTTTTTAGGATTCACTTCACTTATTTCGTCTGAGTCTTTTGAGCTTTGTCCTCAAGTACAAAAAAATGCGAAACTACTAATAAATAGTATTTTATGATGCAAGTACATAAGTATCAATCTCAATATAATAAACAAGTTTAAAATAATATATTACTCTGCATTTGCAGACATTTCTTTCGCTTTTCATTATTGGTTATTTGGAAACACTTGCACTTTTGCATTATTAATTTTAAGTGTCCTTTTAATTTATTTTAACTTTCGGCAGAATAAATTATAATAATTGCAAAAAATTAAAAACTGCAAATTTTTATATATCACGTTTCAAAGATGTTCCGAACATTTTAGCACACCCTAGAAAAAATGAAAATATGTGTGTGCAAGTGTGTATGAGGATGCAAATTTTTGTCGACGATTTCGAGAAAACAAATTAACCGATTTGAATAATTTAAGAAACATTAGATTCGCATTTATGGATAGACTTAATGATTAGTTTCTAGCAAAAGCAGGACCAGGATTAGCCATACCGAAGTTAAGGTGCAAAAAGTGCGAAAAATAGCAATTTCGTTTTTGAGAAAACGGAGCGGATTTGTATTGACAAAATAAAGAACTGATTCAATTTTTAGAAAGATAGATCCAATTAAAAGAGTTAAAAACAATTGGCGGTCAAAAATGATCACTAGTTATATGTGCATTAAATTATAAGATCCATCGATTTGAAAGTCATTTTTTATTTTTTAAAAATCTAATTGTTTTAGAAAATTTCAATTTAATTTAAAAATTTTAATTTTCGGTACAGAAAGTTCTAGCGATTCACCTTAAGGCACAATATCATGCACCACTAGTTCAAACTTGACTTTTGAGTCGAGTTTCCAAGTGCATAATACTGCAAAACTACGAATAAATAGTGATTTGTGATATAAGTACTTATGTATTCATCTTAATATAATAAATAATAATTTTTTTCTATAGATATTTTTAATTTGCATGAGCTCCTCCAGAGTACCTCGTGATCGTAATACTTTGCTGATTGTGAGTGTACAGCACGGTGTGTAGAATAGCCACGGGCGTTGTACATTCCCATTGTAGTCCAGTCATTTGGTCGTCTTGCCGGTACAGTACTCCGGGAATTCTGAAAATTGGTAATCTTATAGATTTCGAGGTGCTCTTTACGGAAATCAACTTTGCCACCTCAAATTTGAACGGCAAGTTGCCGCCATATTAAAAAAATGGCGTCAAAAAACAGCTTTTTTTAAAATATCTACTTTCTGGCTCAATCTACGATAAAAGTATCGATGTAGGAATTAAACTAGAGAAAATTTCCTACAATTCCTTAGAAAACCGTTTTTTTGTAAAATTGTTAGTTTGAGAGTACGGCCGCCTCAAAGTCTTTGCTGCTCTCGCCGTAGTATCAAATCTGTCCATATATGACAGCACTTTGTACTTGACCACATTCTCTCTAATAATTAATATTTTCAATATTAAATTGAGCGAATAAGATCTAGAAATAAAATAATTCAAATATTTTTCTGTTTTTTTGCTGATTTTTTAACGCTTCAAGCTACTTGAAGCTATAAGGCGCTACTCAAGCTATAAGTATATTTACAGCTACTTTGCCATTGAAGTGTTAAAAAATTAGCAAAAAAAAAACGAAAAATATTTGAATTAGATCGCTTAAGATCTTATTCGCTTAATTTAACATTGAAAATATTAATTATTAGAGAGAATGTGGTCAAGTTCGAAGTGCTGTCATATATGGACAGATTTGATACTATGGCGAGAGCAGCAAAGATTATGAGGCGGCCGTACTCTCAAACTATCAATTTTACAAAAAAACGGTTTTCTAAGGAATTGTAGGAAATTTTCTCTAGTTTAATTCGTACATAGATACTTTTATCGTAGATTGAGCTAGAAAGGAGATATTTTAAAAAAGCTGTTTTTTGACGCCATTTTTTCAATATGGCGGCAACTTGCCGTTCAAATTTGAGGTGGCAAAGTTGGTTTTCGTAAAGAGCACGTCGAAATCTATAAGATTACCAATTTTCAGAATTCCCGGAGTACTGTACCGGCAACAGCCTTTTTTTGCACCAAATGACTGGACTATTGGTCAATGATGTAGGAAGAGCAAAGAAACGTTCAATGTAAAATAATACGATTAAAATTTAACTGATTTTTTAATTAAATTACATTGTTCATATTTAACTTGAAACATTGTGTAGCAACTTTTTTATTAGAACTAGTGGTGCACGCACGCAGTTGCGCTTTCATGCGCGTATAGCTGGAGCTTTTCGCTTGAGAGTAAGGTGACCATACCAACACTCTCGTAATTTTCTAAAAGCAAAAAGTCCCGGATTTAGTTCGTTTGTCCAGGGCTATCCCGGTTTTTCGAAAATTATAATTAAAATTCACAAAAATTATGGAAGCAAACGAACAAGTGCTATTGTTTTTTCAAATTAATTATGAAGAAAATTTAATAGAATTTTAAACAAGGCTCAAAAACAAAACAATATAGACACAAAAGTCCTCAATTTTGATTAATAAAAAATGATTCCTATAAAAAACTTCTGTCATTGTATCATTAGTGTTCGTTATTTTAAAGACCCTAAAATTTCTGTTATAGTTAAATAATCTTAAAGTGATTTTCTTTTATTTAAATTTATTACATGCCAAATTAAACCGCTTATTATTATTTAAATGTCCTTTATTTTGAATTATACTGAAAATTTAAAATTATCCTTACAACTATACTCAGTAAAATTATCTATCTGAACCCAATCCCCGAAAAACTTTTTTTTACCCTTGCTTACCTACCCTTTTTAATGGCTCTGGGAACTCTGATTTATGGAGACTTTAGGAATTTTGATTACGATCTTAACAGAAAAACTCCAACTTTCTTTTAATTATTTTAAATCAAACTATTTTAATTTTTGGGATTTTAAGTAATATTCTTCCAATCAAATTTATAATCAAGTAGCAAGTAACTTGGCTTGAAATTATTTTCTATGCCAATGTTATAGGTACATGTATGTGATTATATATATATATATATATATATATATATATATATATATATATAAATATATATATATATAATGCTCAATAATGCAAAAATGTATTTAACTCGATGCATTTAATAATATTTTAATATCTCTAAACTAAAATAGCATTTACACGTTTTATCCAAGCTTCAGTATATTTTTTGTTACTAGAAGTAAAAATTACAAATGTAGTTATATTTTAGAAATGATAAATTCCTATTTATTATTTTTGAATGATTCATATTTGTTATAAATAAGATATATGTAAATAGTACAGTATCTTACTTTTAACAGCTATCATAACTAAGAGTTTGAGCTGTTCGCTAATTTAAGTTCCTAATTTATTTTGTTCAAAACGGCAACCCAGTGGTTAACAACTCTCAATTTGTGGCCGTTGTATACCAGCTAAATTATACTGATTATGAGATATAGTTCAAAGGGAAAAAGATGAAGTGTGTTTGTTTGAACAAGTTTCCGTTAGTACATTGAGTCAACGTCTTACATTAACATGATCTGTAGACCGAATTGGTTTTAAAGGGTCAAGATTACGTTTTTATATTTGAATTATTTTAATAATAACTGTTACTTGTATACAGATAAATCGCTTTATTTACTCTAAGTTGAACATTAGTAGTTAATTACCATTTAATAGTTTTTGTGTAGATAATTTATCTGTCATAACGATGATTTGTTTTCAAAAGTGTGCGTCGGGTACGGTTGTTCCAAATTTTGTGGGTACGGTTGTGACATGCTTTTCTTGTTCTTTTCAGCTGAAAATTAAGCAGATGAAAAAATATAACTTAACTAACAAAAGAGAAAATACGAAAGAAAAAGGGCATGAAAAATTTAATACAAAAAAAATTACAAAGATTTCTTGTTAACCTGAGCGTGTGTTGTCTCTACAATTTAATATCTTTAAATTTTTATTGATACAAAATAAATAAAAAACTTTGATGTATATATTGTTTATTAATACCTTTAAAGTACAAAAAAAGCACAAAACAAGTTTAGTTTTAAAAGTTGATTAAAAAATGTCCGTAGGTAATTTTCTAGGACGCATTTTTGTTCTATATTGTGATATTATATTCATAAGCTTGTTGTGTTGTTACATATTTTTGACAATGAAAGTCGTTATAAAGCTTTTTGGTATTTAAAACTATTGTTTTCTAATTTATGTTTATGCCTTTACACCCAGGACGGTTGTGACACTAACCCTTACATAATTTGATTTTATAACTAATCCATCGTATTGATGGACAGTATTTCAGTACTTCCACGTAGACAAATGTTCAAATTACCTTTTAATTTGCTCTTCTCGTAGCTAATAGGTAAATTAGCAAAATTATTGCTGATCAAAAAAAGTGGCACAAAAGTACCCTATAGTATGAACTGAATTTTAGTACATACATACAATATAAAAGTTCTGATGATTTCACTGACTTCATGGT